CCCCCCCTCATTTTTTTTTCCCCCCTGTCCTTAAACCAGCGCAGAGTTTAGTAGATATTAGGAGGGGAGACATAATTATAACTGCTTGTGGCTTATGTAGAACCATCTCTTACCTGAAGCAGACAGGATTCTGGATGTATACATTAGAAAGGCTTGGATGCGCTAGGGATGCTGGAGGAGCTGGCGTAAGGGTGTAAGCCCGTGACAGCCCGGCATGGGGTGCTGCTGTCGCAGCTCCGGTCCCGTGCCCAGCCTGGACCCTCACCAATGAGCCCTGCTCAGCCCCGGCAGCGGGGCCAAGCAAGCTTTCAGCCTGGGGAGTCTGGGCTGAGCTCTGGTCACTGATCCTCGCTCCCTCCCAGGACCTGGACTTCAACCATGCGATGCCTTTGCGGCTTCCCTTCCAAGCCTTGACCTGGTTTTCTGGGCTCTAACCAGGATTTTTTCTCCAGGACTTTAGGCAGATGTCCTTTTGCGTACAGAGTAATCCTTAAGAGGCACAGTGAAGCGAAACTGTACGTGCGTCGCACACGCACCCCGCAGGACTTGAACACCACATCTTCTAGATTTGGGCAAAACCTAAGTATTTCTGCACTTCCTTGCCTCAGTTTCCTGGTTGTTCTGCAATACTTTCAAGAAGCTGGGATCCGATTTACCGCATCAAATCCTAACTGGCTGAATTCTAGATGGACTCTTAAACAAATCTTCCTGCCTTGCTTTGCATGTTTGGACCGTGGCTGTTCCCAGAGTAAAACCGCACGTAACCACTATAAAAACCTTATTTTGCTTTCCTGCTAAGAAAGCTCTCCTGTTACACTGCTTTCCCGTTGATATTTCCACTGCTACAGCCTCTTAATTATAGGCAGAGCACATTATCTTACTATTCCTGGTTTTGCTTGAATAAGAGCAATTTAATTCAAAAGTATTTTTCTGTTGTCCCTAATCAATTGCCTAAATGCTACAAGCCTCGCCAGCAGGAGGTAGGGCACATCAAACACCTGCGTTTGGGAAGGGATTTGGTAATATTCGGATGTTGGATGGGAAAACCAGCTCTTACCTCGCTGCTAACGGGGGCTCCAGCAGGACCATTCCCTGCTGCGCCGAGCGTGGCCGGAGCGCAGCTCGGAGCTCAGGCCAGCAGGCACCAAGCAGACAGATGCGCGGGAGCGGGACCTGTGGCTCCCGTTGAGGTTCCCGCCGCCTGGCCAGCCCGAGCTGCTGCTGCTTTGGGTAACTTCATACCACTGCGCGGGATCAGTTTGAAATTGCGTCGTACATCGTATCTGAAAGTCGGTACGGCGTTAAGTCAACGAGGCGTACGTCGTTCAGCCACGCATCTGGTGTTCTAAGAGTAAACGTTCTTTGCTTATTTTTTTGCAAGAGGCTGTGCCCTTACCTTGCTGACATCATTGGATTAATCACGCCCCAATAAAGGTAAAAAGTAGAAGTAACTTTCTAAGACGACAAAGACTGTTGCCTTTTTACTACGCCCTGTCATGGTAGCATCCTTTATCATTAATAAATGATGGTATGACAATGGTTGTGATATGGAAAGGTACCTCCGTTTCAAAGAATCTAGCAGGTTTTAATAAAAAAAATGAACAAAAAAGCCGGGAGATTAAACATCAGAGATAAAGAACCGGTCTTTGAATGGATGGAAAAGAATTGGAACAAAACAAAGTCGGAGTTCAGTCAGGGCACCCGGGCATTTTGTTCTACAGAAGAATAATGGAACCTTCAGTAGTTGGGGGTGGAGACCTCTCACGCCCTCCATTTGCAGTACAGCATTGCCCACGCCTGCCGCTGCTTGCGTGTTTTAAACCTACGGTGAATTCAGGCCTGCAGCGTGGCGAGGCCACGGCTCAACCTTGCGGTACCCGCAGGTCTGGATGCCCTGGGGACGCGCGTCCCCTGCCCGCCCCAGCAGCACTAGCTCCTCTCCCTGCGCTTGCTTAACGGCTGGAAAATCTTGGCTTAGAAGTTCCTACAGGGTGTTTGACCACAACCTCTTAGGAGTTTGACCACCTTTCCTACATGAACAGTCGTACTTTCTTTTGTACTCACTATAAACTTCAGTATAGCAGGCTTATGGCTTGATTTTTGCGTAACTTAAACTACATTTTCATTAAATGAAAAGCTGAGCTCAAAGTTCATCTAATCATAAACTTTTTTTTTAAAAAATACCTGTCCAGCTGTCTGCTGTACAGGCTTTATGACTTATAGACCCACCTATAGGAGCTACGTAAACTTCAAATAGTCTTACTTTTCTTAGACTTTCTTCACTAGTCATCTAAATTTCACTTGCAGGCCTTTTAAAGATGGATATTATTAACAGAATGAAGTAAACGTTTTCTAAGGTCTTTATGGTCATCGCTTTTTAAAAAAAAATACCGCATTAATTGTAGATCATATTCTTCCTATAACTCTTTTTATGAGGTTAAAGCACAGCTTGCCTGGGTGGCCACATCCAAAATCTTTGCGCGTGTTTCCTGGAATAAAATGAACGTCGTGTATCACCCGCAGAACTTTAACCAGTCAGAGATACCTGGCAAGGGGGTGGGGAGGTGGAGGGCAGGGAGCAGCAGAAGCGGATTATCATGTTTTATTCTTTGTGCTGGATTCTTCCTTCCGAGTTTTTTGGTGGTGGTAAAGCAAAGCAATAGCACGAAGCAGCTGAGAGGCAAGGTCTTCCAAAGCTTTGGGCGCACAAGCGGCATGTCTTGTGCTTCTGCTAAGAAAACTGGATATGGGGAAAATTACGTCAACCAGAAAAATGTGAATTCAGAGATTTTGATCTACGGCTTGGATGAAAGATGAATCTAGGCAGACTTCGCTGTCTAGCAGAAGCCGAGGAACTTCTCAAGAAATCAGGTTTTTCACCTAAATTACAAAAAACACCGATTGAATCATTTTGTGTAAGGATGAAGTGGTGGTAGGAATAAGATCTGTATTTTCCTTATGAATACTTACAACAGGCACCTCAGTTAACCTGCTCTGCTAATGTGAGTTCATGGAATTAAGTCGGAGCAGGCTGACAGGCGACCAAATACGATCAGAGCAGTCGATGGGAAACACGGAGCACTGTTAACTGGGAAATGCCCGTTCCTGTGGGACCTGCCGCATCATCCGGTTCATTTTTCAGTCAAGCCTATGACCGGGATCACAAGTGGCAGCGACCAGGCAAGTGTCTGAGCTTATGGGGTGGGGGCAAAAGAGGCCTGAAAGCAGCAGACTTGAGGTTTGACTGTGAAAAAGGTGCTGAGAAAATGCAGCACGGTCTGTGCCTTCGCTGGGGAGGCAGAGGGAACGTGCATTTTGAGTAACATTTAGCAAAGCTTGCGTCGCCAGACTTCAGTTTTCTTCGGCTAATTTAATTTTGAGAGGTATGTTTGAGTTACTAATTAGCCACTTGCTGCTGTAAAACACAATCCCTCTGTCGCTGGTAAGCAGAGAGGGTTTGAGGAGAAGAAGAAAGGTGTGGAGAGAGACTCGAGAGTAAAATAATCCGATTTTGTGGTCCTATTCAGAAGGTGACGTTGGAAGACTTGTCACCAGAGTTGGGCCTTGGGGAAGGGCTGCAGAGGCACAAGATGGTTTGCTTGTAACGTGACGTTTTAAAAGCTGTTCTGTTGGGGGAGGAAAATAAGTAAACTTGAAAGAATATATCATTTCCTGGGCTGCTGAAGTAGCAATCGATGAGAAGAGTACTCTCAGAAACATGCAGTGATCATTAGTGTTCCTATTTCTGTTTGCAGGCTCAGTAGCCTTTGAGAAGTACCCTTCCACCAGAGTTACAGTAGAAGTTGTCTCAGGAGACGCTTCCTGGGTTACTTACAAGGAGAATTACGTTGTTTCCAGATTTATTTTTTTTTTCCTCCTGTTTATGCACCAGATTGTTCTGTTAGATTATATTTTCGATATCAGGAAACATAACGTACGGTGGCAGGACCAGACGGTGCTTCGATTGAAAGCAGAAAGTGATGACTGAGGAGAATTGGAGTTACAAGCCAGAAAACTAGGAGGAAAAAATAAGAACAAGGTACGGGAGAAAAGCCGTGGGAACAGAAGCGAGCGGGTGAGAGCGTGGCAGTAGTTCGGCTGCAGAGGATGAGAGGGCAGCAGCGTTCAGCCCGAGGGCAGGCGTACAGCCGAGTTGTTGGCGCGCTCCGAGGGAAGAGACCGGCAGAGTTTGCTTCTTAAATAGTTTGCAAGCTTGAATAGTCGCAAAATCCTACCGGACAGCCAGGGAGTAGAACACTTAGTTCTTCCAGCTGGCTGATCTGGCAGCAAACGCCATGCATGACTACAGGTATCTTACTTGTAAGATGGCTTGGAAACTTTGAGGCCTGACTTGTCCTTACTTCACGGAGTTTAAACTGGTGCCTACGGGAAGAGCGCCAGGGACTTTGGATTAACCCTCATCCATCCCTCCTTCAAAGATTGTAGCCTAAGGTTTGATTTACAGAGAAAACAGCGAGACGTTGGCAAGTTATCAATTACGCTACACATAACGAAAAAATACTCTTGAGCGTTAAGCAAAATGGATACAGCTGTAAAATTTTTGTGCTAAGTAGCGTAGCAGGATGTAGTGAGATCTTTCAATATTGGCGTTAACGCGATGTGTTCTCTGCCTTTCGGTACAACGGTCCATAATGACAGAAAAAACCCCAAACATGTTCAAATACCAGGGCATACTTCATGGTGGCTTTCAGTTTTTGAAGTACTTTCCCCTTTGGCTTTTATCTGGATTTTTGCATTCCCTTTGCCTTTGGGTTTCTCCTGCGTAAATAGGCCTCCTCCGTCATGTGCTTGTGCATGCAGGTCGTGAAATGAACAGGGAATTTTAATTTGTCCTAATGATGACGAAAGGTCACTGGGTTGGCAGCTCAAATGGCAAGAAGCTCCACTTGACACTAACCCCGGTACCCTGGCACTCCCCTCTTCTCACCCACTTCCAGTAAAAATCAAAACCTCGGATTATCCCCGCTGTTTTAGGTTCTCTGTCTCAGCTTAAGGGGTACGCTATGTATTTATTCCATGAGTAAACCACCACTCTGTTGGCAGACAACTAGAACCGTTCTGCAGAAAAATGCCGATTATGTCCTTGTCACTCGCCCTCACCTCTGGTGCTGAAGATTAAATAACGTGCAGTGATCTATTTACCCCATAGGATCTTAACCAGAAAGTTTTAACCCAGTTACATAATTAAAGGAAAAAAAAAAAACCAACCCACAAACCACCTAGAAAACCTTTCTTCCTCCTTATAAGAAGAATGCTTACTCTTCTGTGCTTTTTCTTGGCCATTCGCATAACCAGTAAGCTCTTAACGCTTTTTTTTTTTTGTCCCAGATGTTTTGCTGTGTGAATTTTAGATGTACCCTGCCCCACTCCCACTCCGAGTAAGGGTTTCTGAGAGCTTCTGCCTTGATGCCAGGAGATAGTTACACTTTCATCTTTCCCCATACCATCAAAAAGCCTTAAAAAGGGGAGGAGAAAGATCTCATCACAAACTGGCACCAAGCACACGATAAAGAAGCATCAGCATCGATGGCTTTGGCCTCTGCAAGACAAACTGCTTTTAGTAGTGCTTGCTTCAATGCAAAGGAGGTTTGTAGGCACCACCAAACCCATAAGAACTCAGATTCACTCAGTTCCAAATAATAAAAATTGACAAGTTGATACAGGAACAATCATAGAATCCCAGGTTGGAAGGGACCTCAAGGATCATCTGCTCCAACCTTTCTGGGCAAGAGCAGAGTCTAAGCAAATTGCTGCTTAAAATAGAAACTGCACAACTTAAGGTCTTAAAAGCTGGAGTTTTCATTTAGTTATCTTTGCTTTCAGTAGTTTATGACCCAAATGTATAGATGTAATATTAAAACTCCTGGCTAGACCTGGATTAAATTCAGTACAAGATGAATATGCTCCCATACTTGCTAGAAATCCAGTAAGCTTTCTCTACTTTTGACTTTCTCTTTTTTTGACTGAAAAAAATCAGTAATTTTGTGCGGCATTAAGCAAGGATATGGGCCACACCAAATTTCTCCCCGTGAAGAATATTAACATCTAAAACTTAGGGCTTTATTTTTCTGTTCACTTTGGTGAGAAAGTATGCGTGTAACCTCTTCATACACTATCAGGGAGTAAAGTCCTGGCTATTCTCTTTCTGTACACGGCCCTGCACTTCATTTGCCTTGGAAAACAGCAACATACAACCTGTTTTGCTTAGGTTTTGTTGAAAGACATGGTTCCTGTGATAAAGTTGTTCACTCACTCTGACAAGCACATGCTTTTATTGTTAAAACTTCTGGCCAGAGAGCAGTTTCTTCAAATGGTTACGAGTCCTTCAAATTTAGCGTGCTGCACGTCAAGACATTTGACACCCCACCCCCCCAAAAGCCTGAAGCTTTGGTCAAAAGTTTCATCAGAACCAAGAATCGCGCGCCGTTGTGCTGGGATGGGTAACTCTGAAAGGTTATCTTTAGTGCTGCACGTCAAGACATTTGACACCCCACCCCACCCCCCCAAAAGCCTGAAGCTTTTGTCAAAAGTTTCATCAGAACCAAGAATCACGCGCCGGGATGGGTAACTCTGAAAGGTTATCTTTTACACCTGCTTTTTACCTTACTAAGTCTTCTGCTTGTCAGTCCCCGTGCCTTGTGAAAAGCAGCGTGCTTAGACTCTTTCTTGAGATAACGCTACGGTATTTTTCCGGAGTAGCAGCAACAGAGACAGCTGAACTCTTAAACTGGAGATTTGGCAGCTACATAGCCCTTCGTGTGGAGTGTGGGCTGTGTAATTTGGAAAAGATTAGTATAAAAGGACAATTGAAAGTCCATATGACATCACTTATGGTGTGAAATATTGGTTAACATCATCACTCAAACTTAGCGTGCTACAGGCACGTTGAGTAATGATCTGTCTGTGTCCCTTGAAGTTGGCCAACATAACTTCATTTGTTTCCAGGAATCCGTACATTTGATAAACCCAGCGGTGACTGCTGTTCTTGTACTACAGACAGAGCCGGGGTGAGGTGGGGTGGGGGGGGTGTTCAACACCATAAGAGGTCCCAAACAGGAAAGCCCTACCTGAACAGAACAAGAGGCGAGCCTCGGGTGTGACATTGCCAGGGGAATCAAGTTAAACCCAAGGATTCTAGCCTTAGGCATACATTGGCATAAACGCACATGTATCACATCGTCTGCTACACACACATCTATCACATCATCTGCTACTTCTTATCTGCATCTGACATGCAAAGCTGAAATTTGGCATTTAAACCAGGAATCCCCTAGTGAAGGAAGAACTGACTTCTTGGTGCCCCAAGTTCTACCCCCTCCGTCCTGCCGCTCAAAGACAGCACAACTCCAGCCCTACAATTGAAGTGCAGCAGTTTTGGGTAATGGAGAAGAAGTATTTAACTTATCTGTAATAGAAGATTACTGAAAAAAAGAGATTTTTAGCTGAAATGCTGGTATCAGTATAACTGATGCTGCTTCTGCATCATTAACGAGGCAGTCTTTTACCCTGGCCGTACAGGACAGACACTGCTTAGCAGCATAAGCGTCTGAGACTTTTTAGTTCCTGATAAACTTCAATTTGTGTCCTTTAGTAATCTGTTAAAATGGCATGAATGTGTGCAAAGCTCAGGAAAAAGCCAAATTTAATGGGATATTAACTGGTATTAAAGAGGCTCAAGCTCAGAATGTTCTCTTACAACACGGAAAAGTTTTCCAGATTTCTGCCTCCTTCCTCACTGGAGTATTTTTCAGAATTGTAACTAACTGAGGTTGGTATTTTATACAGCTGTAGTTGAAAGTGAGTAGGTGAATTATTTTTTACCAAATTCGAAGTTAGTCTAATAAGGACAGTAACACACAAACCTAATTTTTCTGCAGCCTCTTTATACTTGTGACTGACAGTAACAAGGCGATAGGTACTGTCAGTCTTCCAAAGACTACTTGTAGTAGAACTATTAAATTTCTACTTACAATTTTTCAAGAGATTGCCTTTCAGTTAGTAGTCAAATTTTGTACAGAGCTTTTTCCACACTGAATACAAAGACAACATCTTCACATTACGAACTTTGCTAGGAGTCAAGAGCTCGCAATAGGCAAGTAACACCCACTCCTTTCCTCCCACAACCCTAGATCAGCTGTAATTTTGGCCACTTGTATAAACTTTAGTTTCCTTTCAAAGATATGTTGAGTTATTAAACCTGTATCTCTGAAGTGTCAACAAAAAGAGTAGCATTTACAACTTTTATCTTTCAGGATTTCTCAGAACAAAGGACAGAAATTAACAGTTGGCTTCTTGCTATCAGGTTTTAAACTTTTATAAAATCTTTACATCCATTGCTAGAGTTGGTTCTTTTCTGCAGTGTTCTGAAACCATGGCTTTTTTCACTGCACTGGTGATGAATATTCGAAAGGAGCTGCTTAGCTACTGCTAACCGTCTTCAGAAGGTGATGTTTGCTTTTGCTATGGACTTGTAAGATTTAAGCATCTTCCATGAAGTTCAGTGCTTAAAAAGGATCAAACGTTGGCGTGTTGATTAGCAGCCATGGAAGAAGCCATAACATTTTTTTTTTCATTTCTATCAAAGCTTCCAACTTCCTCTCGTAGGTAGCAATCAAAGGAAAACTGGAATTACTCTGGGAGACATATGGAAAATATGAAGTATTCACTTATTAACTTAGCGGTACAGAGCTGGTTGTGCCATCGGGAGTAGAAGAGCTGAGGATTCAGAGTAAGCATAATGCCTCACTGCTGACCCCTCACTCCCTGGTTAACCCCTTCTTGTCACATGTTTAAAACCAGATCCTTAAGTTTCCATGTCTTTAGCTTTTCAGAGAGATTGAATACATTTTTTCAAAGATCACCACACTTTGCTTTTTGTAACCTAGTTTCCCACCACTTCAAAAATCAAACCAGAAACTTTACCGTATTTAAGTCAAACCGTACGGTAGTGGAGACAACTCAGAAAATCAGCAGGTTTAACACTTTTAGTGGCAATAAGACAAGTGTATAAGCATTTTTTATTTCCTATCTCTAGATAAGCACTGCAGTGATACCCCAAGACACTTTAAAACCTCTTGAAAAACTCAAGATTTGAACACATGTGAAAGTACTCCAACATAAAGTAAATATTTTTCAGAAGTGATAAAATTCCATCCGATTACTTCCAAGTTCCCCAAGCAATGGGGGTAACAAATTGATATTCAGCTCCGTTGTAATCTCAAATATGGAATGCACTTAGTATTAAATGAGGAAAATTTTTGCCTTTTTTTTTTCTTTTATATGCTTGCCAAGAAAGATTAAAATAGGCACGCTTGCAGAAGTCTTCAGGGTTCTCACTCTTCTTGGCTTCCATATTTACTCTTTTTTTTGTTGTTCAGTACAGGGAAGGAGAGGGATCTTTAAAATGTGTCTCTTGATGGCATGATCACAGACTTAATTTCCTCTTTTTTTAAAAAAAAAAAAAGTGATTACCAGTACTTAAAAATAAATGAAGTTGTAGAAAAATGAGTTGTAGAAGGACGGCCCCAGTTGTATTCCAGACCGTTCCAACTGCAGGATGGCTAAACTATAACTTAGCATTTTCTTTAAGCTACATCAAAACAGAAACTGCCAGAATTTTCAGAAAGCCTAATGTTTGTTCCATCTCTAGTAACTAAAGAATTGTGGACGACTTTGACTTAAGCCCCTCTCTGTACCCAACATGCATGTTGGCGTGGCGACTGTAACATAGCGTGACCTATCAACGTACAAGTGACCAGCCCAAATTGCCTGGAATAGCAGAATGTACCAAGTTCTGGCCTTTCTCTCTGTTTTTTCTTTCAAACTGGTGTACAGAAGTATATTATCTATGGGATGTCTCATCTGTACGTGTCAACGTAAGGTTCTGTGAGCAAGATCAATTTTCTAAGATCTCTGTAGGTTCTGTAATGCGTAGTAGGAGTAGGATGCAATGTTCCGTTCTTCTGGAGATGTTTCGGGATCTTTCTCCTTTGCATAAACACTTACTTTCATACAAAATAACCGACTCAGTCGTGTCCAAGGCTGCTGCTCTTCTGTAAGTTTGAATGAGCTAATTGAGTTCTGCCAGATGTGCTGGGGGAGGCTGTGATCACAATAAGCCCTGCTTCCATAGCGAATAAAAATAGCCATGAAAATCAAGTTTGTAAGCTAATGACCAGGTGAGGAAGGAGAAAGAGGATAAGCAGCTTCCTCACACATCATTTTCAAGCCGTTAACCTTTCTGGTAGCCCCTCAGTAACCCTTTACTCTTACTGCCATCACTATCAATGAAGAACATGGTTGCACTGCTTTGCAGAAGCTTCCCCTATGGGGCTGTGAGCTTCAGCTAGCTTTTCTAGTCTGCTTCTCATCATAGCTATCCAATATCCAAAAGGTGCGATTAAAAAACAATAAAATACAGTAGTCATGACATTTTCCTCACACTAGGCAGTATTACCTTTCTTGAGTGAAAAAAGGGGTATCCTGATTATTTTTGACCAGCGTTGGTCTAAGCAGTGAAGTACTTGATGGCAGTGTTAGGGTAATGGTTGGACTTGATGATCTTAAAGGTCTTTTCCAACCTACATGATTCTATGATTCTACTTGTGCAGAATATTGCACAAAGTTTTACAGCTTAATCAAGAACGGGTCAGTCCGTTATCCCAATCTGTAACTAAGGCACCACAGCACCACTACTGCAAACAGTCTAAGGACAATAAGTATTACTCAGACAAGTTTTTGAAGTAAAGCCAGAGATACAGGAATTTTCCATTCCCCTTACAAGAAAAACAGGCAACAGAATACTGTAATTTCTAGTTTGGTCAGTTTGGAGTTGGGGGTTACTAACACCAGCCAAAACGTAGCAATTGCCTCTATCCAAGCAATTCAGATAGGTTGGAATTATAATCTCGCGCAGTATAAATAGCTGCTAATATCTGGCCTTTCTGGGCTGAAGGCTAAGACTGTACGTAAGAAGTCTGAAATTTGCATCTTGGTCCGAGTGGCTTTACATGAGTTTCTTGTTAGGAATTTGTAAGTCATTAGTAGTAGCTGAGCTGATTTTCCATTAGTTAGGAATACTGCAAAGTACATTCCGTGCTTGCCTGTCAGGTTTCTCACAGTAGCTCCCTCGTTCCCAGTCTTGCTCACCGACCCGTGCGGGACAACTTCTAATGAAGGTGGAAAAGCGTTGCCAACCTCCACGCTGGTCGAGTCTATTTACGCCGTCAACTCTTGCGCTCAGATAGCTTATTTTGTTTGTAGAAAAAGTAGCAACGCTTTTCTCCAACTTGCCAATAATGAAAAGCATTGCAAAAGTAACGGGTTTAGGCTGAAGAAATTTTGCTTTTCAGTCTCTTCAGTGGAGGGGAACGAAGGGCAGAGTGCGGAGCGTGGGCCCCGTTAGCCGCCAGCGTCGTTGAAGTTTTACCATTTTTAAGCATTCCATTCATGTGGATTGATTTCCAGTGACTGAAGCACGGGCGGGCACACCGAGCAGTGAAGTCTGCACATCTGGAAAAGGAGTTTGCAGTCACCTTGCTAATAACAACTCTGGGCCTCTGTTTGATGCCTTGAGCTTCAAAGACCGTTGCGGGTTTTCTCTCTCTAAAGTAAGGGCGCAGTAACTTTGCAATTAAGACATGAGGTCACGGTTTATTCCATCGGAGTCTTCCAGCAAGGCCAAAGAAAAGAGAAATGGCGGGCGTACAAAAGCTTAAGTTTAAAAAGACACACAAGCCCTAGAATCCCCAGCAAGATAACTCTTAGTGTTGTGGCAACAAGGGGAAAACTTACTGGGTCATCTCCATTAATCATAACCCAGCTAAAAAAGCAAGCCCACCATAATCTGCGGCTGAATAACTTCAAATCTGTTGTATCAGAGTTCCCGTGTAGAAGCCTACACGCGAGCGGTAGTACCGATGGCGATTCAGAATTGTGGTGTTCACAACATGCTGTTTCACTTTTGTCCTTCCTGCTAATGTACAACTTGGGTAGAAGATTTTTTTCAAAAAAAAGTCATCATTCCCTTGCAGCTGCCAAAAGACTCAACACTTCTTCCTACTCTAAGAATTGCTGGAGTGCTTCGAAGCGCTATGTGTAAATAAAAATTCAGTAAAGCCATAAACATTACAGTAAAAGGGGTAGAAGACTGACACCTGTACTCTGATTCTTAAAATACTGTTTAAAACCCAGCAATAAAATGATGGGATAAATGCTACGGCTTACTCTTGGGAATGGGTTTGTGGGGGAAGGATTTGCAGTTTTCTCCGGTGACGTTAACGGTACCACTGCTTGTGTTACAGATTGCCCTGAAGTACGACCCCCAGATAGAAGAAGATCTGCGAAACTGGATAGAAGAGGTTACAGGGCTGAGCATTGGTGCAAACTTTCAACTGGGATTAAAAGATGGCATAATCTTGTGCGAGTAAGCATTTATTAAGTAACCTTATTTTTTAGCAGTTTTCCACTTCTGAGGAGCTAAGGAGGGACTTTCTGAAGACTCCCCTTCAAACCCATCAACTATAACAGTCAAAGACAGCTGACAGTAGGGCGGGAGACAGCTTCTTTGAAACTGTGGAAAAGAATGAAAACTTAAATCTCCTTTTATATTTTAGCAAAGATTTCTAAGTATTTCTGAATTTGAAGCTCTTGTCTATAATAATCACATGGCACACAAATTCTTACAGTCTGTTAGACTTGTTAGACCTGAGATCTGAGCTAGGCACTCTGTATAAACCAGAAAATTAACCATTTTGATGAAACTAATGCAACTAATAAAGCATGAGTGAAAGTATTATATAATGCCTGCACAGATGGTATAAGGATGAGATTTATTGTTTAAGCATTTCCCTTTTTTTCACCTCCCCAGGCTTATAAATAAGCTGCAGCCAGGATCAGTGAAGAAAATTAATCAATCAAAACTAAATTGGCACCAGGTAAAACAAAAAACCCCCCCCAAAACTACACCTCTAACCCCTCCAACCCCCAAACAGTTCTTCTGTTCTGTATTAACAAATTTGCTGTGGATATGGTACACCTTAAAGCTTAATAGCACCGAGTTTTGTATGCGATACGTACACAACAGCTGAGGATACGGCATACGTGAAGAGCAGTTAAGAGAAAGCAGCTATGGCTAAGGTGGCTCCTAAGTGGCAGTTGAGTATCCGTATTTAATAGTCATGCTGTTAGGTGAAACGTCAGATGGAGGAAGGAGAGAGCTGCATAGCAAGGCTTTTCTTCCAAGTTAAGAAAAAAAAAAAAGCTGTTAGCTTTTTTTATTAAATCACAACTGGAGTTTTCCATCCAGGCAGAGCTGCAAGGTCAACAGCTTGCCTGTACCTGGACACTGGATGTCACTGTATCCAGCATCCTCCTGAGAAGGCATCTGGAGAGGATGGGGAGGGCAAGGACCCGAACGGTCTCAGAAGAAGTGGTTGTGTAACAGAACTCAGAAAACAATACGGTGCAAACTACCATACGTATTTTATTTCAGTATATCCAGATTTGATCTCTTACGAGCACTCTACCTAGCACTTCCCCCCCCTCCAAGGGACTACCAAAGGCACCGTGCATTTAGAACAAGCATTGGAAGGGTTGCTGGTTAGAGCTGACTGCCTTTACTGTTGCTGGGTCTAGCTTAGCGGTGCTATGTCAGCCGCTTGTTTTTATTGGCATTGAATGCTTCTACATACAGTGGAGGATTTTTATCTTTTTTTTTTTTTTTTTTTTAAAAAGTTTTAGTACCTCTTAAGACTTCAGAAGGAAAGGTGAGATTCAGTCCTAACACCTTGTACTCCATCTTGCTTTCCAATTTCTACAGCGCACAGTGCTAAAAAGCGCTAACAAACCCCAAAAGCTTAGCCGAATTTGTCCCAGGAGGTGAGCAAGATAATCCCTGCAGAGCCAAGTTCCATGTTCTTACTGCCCACATCGCTGTGTTTTCATTTTACTCAAAATTACCAATTGCTGAATTCAGGTAGCATGGACGCTACGTCAAGTTTTCTGGTTTGAAGCAGGTTTTAGATGAGGATTCCTCTTGGAAGGGACGCAGTTGAGGCAGTTTTGTCAAAGCCCCCTCTAACGAAGTACCCGATACACACTGATGGAGATGCCAGGCCAAATAAACCCTTCGACTGATTTCTGAAGTCAGTATTGAAACTAATGAAAAACAATCTCCAACTTCCTACCAGTCACTCTTGACCATGCCAACTGCTTTGTCCCGTTTGCACAAGGCGAAGAACTTGTGTAAAACAAGCAAAACCAACCAACCATCACCAGAAAGCTTTAAAATTACTTTGTTTTCGGAGTGAAGCACTGAGCAGAAAACTGGCTTTTTTTGTTTCTGTTTAGCTGGAGAATATTGGGAACTTTATCAAAGCCATCCAAGTCTACGGCATGAAGCCCCATGATATTTTCGAAGCAAATGACCTTTTTGAAAATGGAAATATGACTCAAGTACAGACTACTCTCGTGGCACTAGCAGGTCTGGTAAGTATTTGTACCCCTGAAATCGGCGCAAATCCCCAGGCCAGTCCAGATGCACCCTTATTGCTCACGTAAATAAGGAAAATGGCCTGGCAGGAAGGGATAGGTACTCCTGTGAGCCCAAGATGCTGCAGAGATTGCCCTTCGGAGGGCTGTGTCCTCCCTCATGCCTCCAGGGAAGGCTGGGGGTTCAGGGTTAGGACTCCTGGCTGCAGCCAGCCTTGCTCTGGAGCTACCTGTGCATGCACGGGGCCGGGGAGGCTCACAGGAGGACACTAATCCCTGCAGAATATCCTTCTGACAAGGTACTTGGGTAGCTTTGGAGTGCCACCGTCCAGAGGCCTGGGGGACTGTTACCTTCCCTCACCCCGGCACAGAGGGTTTCTCCTAAGGGATAAACCTGCTTGTGGCATCACTCGAGAACCCAGGGTCAGGGCTGTAAAGTTGACATTCCAGCAGCAGAAAATATACTTGAAACAGTGAATACTCTTATTTTCCCTCTCCCTAAATAGGCAAAAACTAAAGGTTTTCACACTACAATTGATATTGGTGTCAAATACGCAGAGAAACAAGCACGAAGTTTTGATGCAGGAAAACTAAAAGCTGGTCAAAGTGTAATTGGCCTGCAGGTAAGTACAAAATTCAAGTTTGCAGTTAATCTGTTACATTTGAGAACGGCTTTCTTGTTTTGATTAACCGATCTATTACTTACGCAAAACCAGCTGCAGAATTACAACATATCCTTATCATGGAAGGAGGTATGAGATTTAATTCTCAAAAGCAGTTCATTGGCTTTATAGGCTCAAGTGACTGCCTGGAAGGTTGTTCTGTTTTGTTTTACATCCGCAATAAGAGCGATAAGGAGGAAAGGAACAGCTAATGTTAGCAGTATCATCTCTGTCCCCTAAAGTGGTTTTAAAGCAGGAGCCTTCGGATAGCCATAAGCTCCTTATGCGGTAGAAGCTCCCCCCCACCTCCGCTTCCCTCAATAGCCATAAAAGCCAAAATAACTGGCACAAAAATCTTAAAATTCCTGTGGTAGAGAAGTTGTGGCGGTGTAATTGAATCGTTACTGTCCAGGGTAAAAAGTTAATTACCACATTCTGATGCGTGCGTCCGTTCTAATGGCATGCACAGTTGGGCAAGTGCCAGTCACTGAAATGCCTCAGGATGACAGTTGCCTTTTTTTTTTCCTTTTGATGCCCAGGATGGAGAAAGGGTAATTTATTACAGGCAGTGGTCAAGCTACACGAGGAAAGCACGCACTGTAATTACTTTTTCCGTCAGCCATCACAGTTACCAACCGTATTTGTTTCCTTAGACTGTGCTCGCTGTACAAATAAAATAAATAAATAAATAAATAAATCACTTTTTCTGTCCACCTCTTCCTTCCCGCAATAAAGATGGGGACCAACAAGTGTGCCAGTCAGGCGGGCATGACTGCTTACGGAACCAGAAGACACCTCTATGACCCAAAAATGCAGACCGATAAGCCGTTTGACCAAACGACGATTAGCCTACAGATGGGCACCAACAAAGGAGCCAGCCAGGTAAGCGGGAGGGCGCGCGACACTCGCAGAGGGGGCACAGCCCTCAGCCCGGTGGGGCGGGGGAGCCTGCGAGTTGCGTGGAGCAGCAGAGAGAGGGTGCAGGGCAGCTGTGGTTGAAGAACTTAAAATTGCTTATCGCTATCCCGTGCGTTCCGCGCTGAATATGCTTAAGGCATAAGAACGACCCCGTGCTTCTAGAATTTCCGCCTGGCCGCGTGAGACCAGAAGAAAACAATTAACTTCATTCCGCGTACTAACTAGGCAGAGGCAAAAAAGAAACTCCTTCCTGGGCGCTACCTCGGTCCGAACACTTGGTACGTTCTCTCAAAGAGGGAAATAAACTGGAGCTTTCTGCACGGGCTTCCTTCCGTGCCTCACCTACTGGCGAACACATGCTGCTGTGCTAGGTTTTGTTACACCTCCCTTCCTACTTGCTAGCACTTCCAGTAAGGTGGGGTAGTTGCGATGGGAAACCTGGTCAGCACAGCTCTTGACCTGCTTACTGAACCTCTGCAATCCTGTTTTACTAGGCTGGCATGCTGGCACCCGGTACCAGGAGAGACATCTACGATCAGAAGCACATACTACAGCCTGTGGATAACTCGACTATTTCGTTACAAATGGGTACCAACAAAGTAGCTTCACAGAAGGGAATGAGTGTGTACGGGCTTGGACGGCAAGTGTATGACCCCAAGTACTGTGCTGCACCTACAGAACCTGTCATTCATAACGGCAGCCAAGGGACAGGAACTAACGGGTCAGAAATCAGCGATAGCGATTATCAGGCAGAGTACCCAGATGACTATCACGGAGAGTACCAAGATGACTATCAAAGAGATTACCATGGTCAGTACAGTGACCAGGGCATTGATTACTAGCTTTGCATCGAAAGTTCAGTATTAGTCCATTATTTTATTCAGTAAAGAACGAAACTAGCCTTGTGGAATTGTTACCTGTCTTTTCCTACACACTATGCTTAATGTACCTAAGGAAATACTGCCTTACATACATTCCTTTTTCCTTTCTCTGCCCTTTCCCTGTCGATAGTTGCCTTTAGTGCTGTAACAGTTGTAGTCTACAGCATAAACAATAACTGCATATGAAGTAAAAGGAATACTGTGAAAGGGGGAGTGCTCTCGGTCAGCCAGGTTGTCTAATAAGGAGCTATGCATTTTCACAATCTCTACTTAAGTAGGTATTTACGTACCACGTTAAGCCTTCATTTTACATATTTACAGCTTTTCTGTTTTCCAGATAAGAAAATTTCATGCTTAAAGTTAAATGTGGTCTTTGCCAGTTAAATCGTAAGACATCACATTAGTGATTTAAATATCATAACTATGTTTCTAAGATACTGTTTGCTAATGGTAAGTCCTGCATTAGACATAAGCGTGCATTTGTGATTGTGTATTCATTCCATTATCAACACTGACCAAACTTAGAAATAGTCGTCTTACTAAAAAGGGAGCTTGTACAAAGTCCTGAGCCAACAGAAGTCCCACGATTGATGGTGCATTTGCCTTTTTTTGTGCCATAATATACCCATGTAGAAATGCTTTTTCTTCCTTGAACTGTATTTATTGCCACACTTCTCAAACTGATCCCAGTGTATTTTTATAAATAAATATTTTTTCTTAAAGGTACGTAGAAAAGCCTGTCTTGTTTGTTACGCTGCCATTCTGAAAGATCAGGTGCCACAGAAATTACTCCCCAGTCAGCACCACCTTGGCCTGGGTTAAGGGTAATGTAGAACTGCTGACTGTTGCTGGTTCGGGTTCATTCTTTTCCATGGGATTTAATCCAACAACCTTGTAAAAAATCTCCTGGGAATGAGTGACAGTGACTTAACAGGAAAGGAATGCGGCTCCTTTAGGGCAGCGTTCACTTCCCCTCTGCGCGGCTGCGAGGTTACGGCCCAAGATCCTTGGTGGTGGCTGAAGCAAGCGAGGAGCTGCACGTATTTAACGCTGCCTCTGCTTCAGCCTCCAGCCTTCACACCATCGCTGCGAGACCTCGAGGCTCCCCTGCTTTAGTGTGCGCAAAGAGAGATCCCCATCTTTGTGCCCGCTGGTCTGCGATCCGAGTTCTTCAGTGACTGATAGCAGAGCTTGATGCCTAAATGGAAAACCGAGCGCAGGCAGGCTCTACTAATTTACCTGGGCTGTTTAGAACAGGATTAAAGAAGAGCAGGCTATCCGGGGGGGGGCCACTGGGGCTGATCCTAACTGTTGTAAAAAAATGAAAGGTATTTCAAAAGTGATTCCTGCAGATTAAACTTATTTACAGGAACATACAAAATGCTTCATACTTGCAAGTTCTGGACTGGTCTTGAGAGGAGAATCCTTTACTAGGAACTGTTTGTGCTTTGCTCCATTAGTTTCTGTTATCTTTGGGCGTGATGCCGTGGTCTGACTTTCAGCTGACCTATTTGTTGAAGCAGTTTTAAGCTTATTTATTTATTTCACAGAATTTAAATTTGAAAGGACCTGCAGATGAGGCAAGAGGCTTTTTACCAAGATGTCTGCTCTTCCTGAACTACACTATTTCCCCCCTTCAAAGTAATAGCATTTAGCAATTTAGAACTATTGTATTGAACGCAGAAAAGCAGTGCTATCGTCAACCACACAAGCCTTGTTGCTGTTTTGGGTGAAAGCAGGGCTGCTTTTTAAAAGCCTGAACCATGCCCTCCCACTCTTTCTGAATCCAAAACTTACGCTTCAAGCTGCTTGCACACACTTACTCTGTATGTACATGAGCAGAGGAAGCAAAACAACACGTGAGCTGTTCTCAGTACGCCTGTTTTCTTCCATCCACAGAGGTACCCAGTGGAATCATAACTGAATTAAGTGAGAGTTTGAAGTAGACACCAAGCAAGACCAAAGGCAAACTTGCTTTGCTCAAAACACTAAGCTGTAATACTTGGCCATTTCCTGGTATACAGACACCAGCGGTCCCCATCTCCTATTTTTAAGGAACGTAGTTATAAAAGTACCTTCTATTCCTCTGAATCTCATCTTCTGTAGCTGCAGGAAAGAAGAGTCCACATGGTAATCGGGCTTTGCAGGGCAGGCGTTGAAATACCCGAGGTGGCTTGGACAAGCATCAGGACCTGAACTTGGACTACATACTGACTTGACTACGTCTTGACACGAGCTGTGCCTACAGCCAACCTCACCACCGACTTCCAGCCTGACTACAAAACCCTGCCGGGAGGACGGCAATGGGAAACGAGCCCTAAATAGCGTCAGGCTCTGTAGGGCTGCTTTAGCCCCTCTAGCTCAGGTGAGGACTCTGGCCCCAGGGGAATGCTACAGCCGGAGGTGGTTGACACAATTGCTGGTGGGATGCAGGCAAGATTGGGAGGTCCCGTGTTGCACCTGAAAGCTGTAAAGCTATGCTTTGCAAGTTTAATTGAAAGGCTATATGTTCAGAACTCTAAAAATATACAGGACTCTCAAAACATACTGTCACAGTTTTAATTTCTGGACTATAGGTAGTACAGCATTGCTTAAATGAAACGCACTCAAATACAGCTTAATTGGGCTTTTTCAGTACTTTCCTTCTTTAAAAAGCAAACCAAACTTCATAGTAAGTGTCTAAAAGTCCTGTCTCCAGCCAGGAGCTGCAGTGAAGGCAATGACCCTGCATCATCGTTGCAACAAACGGAATCGTTGAGGTTGGAAGGGACCGCTGGGATTGCCTGAAAACGAGGACATACTTGTATAAAAATTTCCCTTTCTTTCACCCAAGAGGTTCTGCATCAAGGGCCAAAACATGCAGTGCGAGAATCAGACGGAAACAGGAGGGAAAAAAAAGTGTAAGAACTGATTTTTATAACTTCCAAGCGAACCTACCACGCTTTGTAAGTTGGTAACCATCAGTTTTACGTTGTGGAGACGCTGCTGCTTGGAAGCAATCTTACTGGGGCCTGTGGCAGAGGAGAAGTTTTGCCCCTCTGTAAGTACCGTATCCGCACGCTTTCTCACGGTTAGCGAGCCGTCGCTCGCTCAGCACGAGTTTCGCTTCCCGCAGCATCCGCAAGCCGAGCCCCAGCAGCGCCCAAGCGTAGTTTTAAATAATGAGAGGTGGCGAGTCGCAGCCAGCAGACGATCAGCTTCACCTGCCAGGCAGAAAGTAATTAATCTATTTCTTTCTCTTTTTCATCATCTACCCTGTATTCCCCAACTTCTTGAAGTGGCTCGTATTAAAGTAGACCAAAAGTTAATTCAATGAAGAATAAAAAGCAAGTATTTCTTGGCATTCCCTAGCAGATAACTAGTCTCAAATACAGTGTTTAGCTGACACATTCGTCATTCAGGCCATCAGGGAGCTTTTCTGTACATCGCTTCTAAGCTGTGCCTAATCGGAGGCTTATCAACCTATTAATTACGGCAGCTTACGAGTCACTCACCTCAAACCTCTCCTCAAACGAAAGGTTAAAGGAGCGTTTGAACAAAGAGAATAAAGTCATGTGCCACTGAGTAAAACCTAAAACTCCCCCTACTCAGAAGGAGGGGGAGCACGTGGAAATGTATTACAACCAGGGTCCGGGTACAGAGCTTAAACCTCGGAACTGCCCACAAGAAAATGCCAGTAGACTGTTACCAGGTTATTTTCTTTAGAAGTGTCTACACTTCTTGTGTCCCTCTTCTGACTCTGCTAGCTACATTCCTCCATGATATTTTATATTTCACATCCATGTTACGGCTAAGATTTCTATAAAGTATTATTTATAACATCCTTTTATCTCATTTCTCTCCAGCCCCTGCTCATCTGCTGCTTCTTTGTCAAGCTTTAAGCCCAGATACAATTTTTTCCGCTCCCTTTGTCTTTTCAATTGCAAAGGGAAGGTGGTGGTTTATTTTTATTTACAAAAACAGGACTGTTCCTCATCTGCCCTTTGGAGAGGAGCCAGTGGACAGTTTATGATACTAACTTGTAAAAACCATTCCCAAAAGTGTCTAATTAAAGACACCTACCTCATAAGCTTTAATTATCTTGACTAGAGAGAATTTCTGTCAATGGTCATTTCCATCAGCGAGCTCGGCTGGACGATTAAGGTCCTTAATCAGTTGCACTGGCTGCTCCCATGTACAGAATGTATGGGGAAACACCTCAGAGCGCCTCCTCGACAAACGTTTCTGCATTTACTGATCTGGGGATGATGGGCCCAGTGTTCCCAGAGAAGCAGGAAAAAACCCCACGTTAGCTGACACACCAAAAAGCTAAAAAGGACGGCTCCATGACCTCGTCGACTTAATATTTTTAGTCTGACAACATGGAAATCTGCAAGGAGTTCATTTATTAACAGTGTTCAGGCCATCATGACAAGTCTATTAATAAAAATCAGATGTGCTGACACACAAAATAGATTATTCTTACAAACATTGTCATTTTACCAGTGCAGAAGGTATAACAGAGATTTAGAGAACTAATACTTCATCCTGGGGTATTGGCAACCTTTTTTCTATGGCTGTTTTTGCTATTGCGGATCTGCCTTCATACCTCCTGGTGCACTTCACATTCAGGTCTACAAAGAGAGAAAAAACTTGGAAGCAATCTTACTGGGGCCTGTGGCAGAGGAGAAGTTTTGCCCCTCTGTAAGTACCGTATCCGCACGCTTTCTCACGGTTAGCGAGCCGTCGCTCGCTCAGCACGAGTTTCGCTTCCCGCAGCATCCGCAAGCCGAGCCCCAGCAGCGCCCAAGCGTAGTTTTAAATAATGAGAGGTGGCGAGTCGCAGCCAGCAGACGATCAGCTTCACCTGCCAGGCAGAAAGTAATTAATCTATTTCTTTCTCTTTTTCATCATCTACCCTGTATTCCCCAACTTCTTGAAGTGGCTCGTATTAAAGTAGACCAAAAGTTAATTCAATGAAG